AATAAGGAATAATTTTTCCTAGAATCTTTTTTCTTTATGAAGTTTTGCTATGCTTTTTTATATGGCATGTCTGAGATCATCTGCTTCATCACATGGTCCTGAAAACAAAACCATGCATACCTGTACAAAACAGTCTAATATGTGGATATATGGTCATCTAATATTTGTGGTATTTCAATATGTTGGCTCAATAAAAGCCATGTAGGATTGTGAAAACTAAATGCATGCAGTTTGATACCCTGGAAGGCATAAGTACCAGGACACCATTGCTACACTTTCTGGCCAAGGAATGGAACATCTGAGTCAGAGAAGTCCATGCATTTTCATAAATTATGAAATAATGAATTATTGGCCTGAAGAGTAGTTTCCACTCCTCAAATGCAGCCAGTCTTGAAAAGCAAAACTTTAATACTTTAATTCAGTTTGAACTCAGCTATCTGACAATTCAATGAAAATGCTGATGAAAGTCTGATTAAACAAGACTTTCTGTTTAATTATTGAGCTCCTTTTGCCTTTAGCTATTTATAACGTGCTTAATCCAATTGATAAAGGTGTTTTAAGATTTTCCTCGTATCTGTGTAGTGCTTTCAATTCCTCAGAAACCATATATTTTTCTAAGATCTATTATCACTTTATCTCACGCATTTTTGCTATGTATTACAGCTATGACAAGAAGATATGTTCAGATGCTCTTCTACTGTGTTCCATCAGACCGGGACATAGATATGGAACCTACAGCAGCTAAGAGTAAATAGAGTTGCCTTGACATTGAGAGTTCTGCCTCGTCATTTCTTTCCTATTTGGAGCCATTTTTATCATCTGAAGTTCTCCCCGTGTGTCCAGTGGTACTAAAGCACTAATCACTGTACTATGCATCAATTTGATGTCTGTTAATTTGTGTGTGTTTTATAAACCACTCTGTTTTATAGGACGTTTTTTTTAAATTCTGTTTGTTAATAGTGAGTTATGTAACACGTTGAAACTATAAAGCACTGTATGAACAAACTTTTAGTAGTAGATAAGTGCTAAATATTAGATTAATTGCAAAATCGTAATAAAAAGTATTAGGTCTAGTCACAATCCTAACAAATAAATTGATAAATATTACAAAAGACAAACCAGATATTTGCAAGATTCAAAACCTGAGTTGGGAAGGAGAAGCCATAGTGTACTTCTAAAAATATAGCTGAATTCTTAGCCAAAGTAAGAAAAAATATAATTCAAGCTGCTAGACATGCCTTGAGTCAATGTAGTATTACTGTTACACTATTCTAATGCATAATTCCTGGCATACATAGTTTACCAAAAGGAGAAAAACAGAGTTTTCAGTCTTTTAAATTCTGTGAGAAATTATTATTTCATGATTTGCAGAAGACATATTTTCAACTAACAAATTATACCATTGTAACTGAAGTACTTCTGCTTTCCAGCAGAACAGCCTGCCATGGAATGCTGTAAGAGACTGAGTCATTTCCAGCTAGTGTATATTCAGGCAAAACTCTTCACCTTTCCATTGTTTGCCTAAAAGTACCAAAGGTGTGACCCCATGAATCATAACTAATTTTCCCCACAATGGAACTTATTTAAGGAATTCACAAGGAGAAATTAAAAACTATTGATGTTTACAAAATCCCTTGAGCTCCTGCCCAACCCTTTAGGCCTCGCCAGTTCCTGCTGGCAAGGTAACCTGCAGGTCTCGTACTTAGCACACGGAGAGCCTCCAGCACTGGCTGCCAGGTCTTCACGTCACGTAGGTGCCAGTTGCGCAATACCCAAGCACAGGAACGGGCACTGGACAGGTGCGCCCACCAGTGGGCGCCATGAAGGAAAAGGGCCGTTAAGAACTAGGGTCATTCTCTTGAACATTTAATTTTTTCAGTGTGGCACATGGGAATGTACAACTAGTCCTAATTCTTAGTCTGCTGAAATGGAAGCGTCAATAACTGTGAGAAAAAAAAAAAAGCCATCAGTCCTGCAACCTAGACCATAAAAACAACTGCTCCAGCTCTAATAGGGTTTGTTGCTATGTAGTACAGGTTTTTATTCTTGTTGGGAAGCCATACTTCCTTTCTCTAATTCTATTTGAATATAACATACATTGTTTCTAATTTGAGTTTTGTCATTCCTATTCAATTAACCCAAATTAAGTAATTTAATCTTATACAAGTCTCTCTATCTTCTAGCATTATTGTCTTTTATTGATGTCTGCCCAGAGAAAGAGCAATGAAATAGGCAATTGTTGCTACTTAAACCTCTCTGCATTCCCTCCCCACATTGTAAAGTCATTTGCAGGATTGTAATTTCATGCATCTCCAGCACAGTGTTTGCTGACAGGTCTCCTGTGAAACCTTCTATTTGTATTTCAGTGCCATCTGTTGTGACTGTTTCCTCACAGCAGGGTTTTCTTTTGATACAAAGTATGAACAACAAAAATGTACTAAATTAAGGTAAACATGGAGATACTAGAAATGTATGTTTTGCTTTTTGGAAGCCACAGCTTTTGAGCACTAAAATCACTTAAGTATTACAATCACAAAAATCGCAAAGAACAAAGAACACCTAGGGTGTAGTTTAGTTTGCCCAGCTCAGAACATTCCCCCATGTACTCTTCACACACACAACACATGCCTCTGTTACAGCATAGCACCATTTTGATCTTGCTGTATGATTGTATGGAAATACTGCATTTTTCGCCCCATCTCTTCCAAAGCACTGGTTAATGACAAAGCTGTGGTCCCAGACTTTGTCGCGGCACAAAGGGAGTACAAACCCCAGAAATCGGTACTAAACTACATGTGATAGCCTTTGCCTCCACAGAGTTCAAAGTCATGCTTGGTGCTGAGCTATGTGTCACACCAAGACAGCACTATACCATCCTCTCAAGTTTTTCTTTGCAGGTCAAAGTTCCTCAGTGATTTGAGACACCTGAGGTGACATCTTGGGTGGTAACAGATAACAGGCACTCCAGGTCGTATAACAAGGGCTATGGACTAAGATCGTTTCCATAGAGAACTCTGAGCCGAGAAACTTCTTTATTTGTTTCGGGTTTATTTTGGCCAGAAATCTGTTTATGTGTGAATCTTTTAACTTTCTGGGTACGATGCACAAGCCTTCATTTACTTTCTTTCTGGACAGAAGGAAAGTAGTAGTCAGATGTAATAATGTCTGAATAATTTAATAATAATTAAATAATAACATGAAAAATTTAATTTAAATTCTCTACGGACATCAGAATCTTAGAAATGTTAATGCGTTTGTTCATTTTTTACTCCTTACAAATAATACATGTAAGTTACTGTCAAATATCGAAAGCAAGTCATAGATGCTGAAGTGTTTAAATACTAAACATTTGATCCTTGCCAAATGCTGTAGTTGTGTGGGTTTAAAGCATAAAAATAGTACTGTGAATGAAATTTGCCCTGCCTTACATCTTGCAAGGTGATTTGACAGGAGAGCCATGAGACTCCTAACTCCTCTTTGTGTTCTCTACAGCACAAAATAAACATTTATGGAAGGAAAAATTTGTAGTTACTCCAGCTAGGACTCTTTCTCACTGCAGTTATGTGCAATTCTTTACCCAAACACTTTCTTGTTCTAAGAGTAAACACATTTCTTTACGTTATTCACAGATGCTCTATTATGCAGTCAAACAATAAACAGTTTTACTTTTTCAGAGACAGTCTTGGCATCCAGACTAAGTATCTCATCATTACATAACAAAATGTTAGGAGGAGGCTGTTTGACATCTAGTTTGTCAGCTGGCATCTCTGTGGTGGACGGGATTGGGGTATGGAGAACACTGAAAGCATTTGCAAGATGTAGCCTGTGGAGGTGCAGGCTGTGCTGCAATGTGTAATGGGAGCCTGGCAGGCTGCAGGGACAAGAACACCTCACATGCAGAGCTGGGGAAAAGTCTTTCAGGAGCAAAAGCTGGGGCAATACAGTACTTGGGAGTAGTACTAGCTCTTCCTTAGAATCAAGAAAATACAGGATTCTTGCTCTTTATGAAGAACCACAGTTCTCTGAATAAAAACAGGAGAATTGGTATCAGATTCCACTTCTGTGTCAGCAAAGGAAAACAGAAGTTGGTGTTGATAGAGGAAAGACTGTCAGCCACATAAAGTCTGAAGATGTCTGGGCTTTGCATGAGCCCAAAGAACTGTAGGGGCTGTTGTGTGCTCCCTGACTACAGAGATGAAGAAAAGTCTTCACACGTTAGGTAGCACAAGGATATTGAAGTGTGAAACAACCTGAAAGATGCACAACGTGACACTGGGCCAGGTCACAGCTCCCTTACAGGACAAAGTGCCTTTTGTCACATGAAACTGAAGATGCTCCCTAAGTATCTTTTCTCGAAATTTACCTTCATTTTGTAACAGGAACTTTAGAAGTATTATTGCACAACCTTTGAATCTGTAGTACTAGATCTGTAAAGTCCCTCTTCTCTAGCTCATAAGCTCTCAGGATTTGTAAATCTTCCCTTTTATTTCTGCAGGATTGATTCTTGACTAATAAGAAGTGGCAGCCAAGCAACTATGTGAAGCTCTAGAATTTCGCAAGTGTCTCAAAAGCTCTAAAATTTTTAAAAAAAGAAAGCAAATGAGGAAAATAAAATTCAAGCCTAAACAAGATGCCACAAAGTAAGGGAAGAATAACTTCTTTGTCTTGTACCTCAGGAGCCTGAATTATAACCACAAGAAATTAGAAGCGCTTATTTAGGAACACACATTCAATGTAATGGATGTCACTGAAAAACATGAAGGACAAATGGACTACTGAAATGACTGGTTATTAGCAACCTAGAAAGATCAGTATTAGAGTCAAAGGAAGAGAGTGGAATTTGGTTTACATGACCATGGTTTTGAAACAGGAGAGGTCAACATTAAATGATTATGAGTCAATCCTTTTCTAACAGGAAGAGTAAATGAGAATGAATTGGTTCATGCTACAATTCAATAAAAAACACAGTAGAAATTAGCAAGGATTTAAAGAGCTGGTCACCCAAAACATGCTGTCAAGTGATGGAACTGAATACACTTCAGCATACAAAAAGAACAAAGATTAATTCAGCATTATATTTATGTAGTGCTCAGAAACGTTAATTTCACGGAGCCAAAAGCAACTGTGAGCTACACCTGCTGAAGGGAGGGCAAAGACAATTTAAACTGGGAAAAAAAACTTCTTGGGGCTGTTTAAGAACATTCTACCTACATGCAGAGCCCAGAAAAAAGAAAGGAACATGCACGGGTTTAAAACTATAATAAGTCCTTCCTCTTCAGAGAGGAAGTGCAAAGAGTCATTTATAAATAGAAGAAAGGCAAATTTGATGGTAATGACGATAAGTTCAAGGATAAGCTGCTAAACAACACACCCAACCCATTTTTATGTGCTTTTACAATAGCACAAAAGAATTTCAGAACCTGGTTGAAATGACACAGAATGTGCTCAGGTCAAAATATGCTCGTTTTGATGATACCACCTTATTTCTGATTAGCCTTTGCTGTTGCCCATACCATGCCATCATATATGGAAACCTGCAAACCTTTCTCTTGTTGTCTTAGGAGTATAGGTCCTGGCTGTCTCAGCGTTTGTGTATTCATGGAAGCAGAATTTAAAATTCCTAGTGGAGTTACTTTTGACTCCACAAGAGGGAGAACTCCTGTGCTTGATGCTTTCAGGAAAGAGAGCGAGCTCGTTGTTTTGAGACCTTCTGCCCAGAGCAGCAGAATGAGAGCGATGTGTATGTTCTTGCCCA